TGGCATCCGCCATCAATCTTTTACTGTAGATTTTGTTTGAAGAAGATAAAAGCAACACACCCAAATCTAGGTTTAGCAGACGAGAAAAGGCGAGAGTCTGGAAAAAGGAAAGAGAAAATGGTAGAAAGTTTCAGTTTAGTTTGAACCGAAACCTTAGAAAGGGTGAAAGTAGTGAGAATCTTATGATGTGGATAACAAAAACGTCACGGTGGTGAATAATTTTCCACGTCATTAAAGATGTAAAATAAAAATTGATTTTGTGGCATTTTAACATGCCATTTGGCACTTCCGTCGACGGAAGTACGGAATTGGTCTAAAAAATTGAAGTTTAAGGATTTTTTTAGTACTTTTTGAAGTTTGAGGGTAAATTTAGTTCAAAAATAAAAGTTGAGGGACTGAACCAGAGATTTAACCTAAAAAAAACTAAAAAATCTGCAGAACAAAAGAAAACGCAGAAAGAAAAAAAAATTATGAACAATGCACAAAGATCAAGACTTTATTCTCGTGAAGTCCAAATACAAGTTTCTGTGTTTCCCCTTTCTCTTTCTCAACTCCCGGATCTCTCTTCCTCCAATCTCTCCTTTTTTCCTCCTCCCAGAAGCCGAAGGCCCCCCTGTTTATAAACAAAAGGAAAACCCAATCCTAACGTGCTTCTAATACTCAAATCCCAATCCCTAAGATAACAACTCAATCCTATTTGGAATGGGGATCTCTTAGTTTTCCCACATCTACCCCTTTTCTAGTCTAGATTCTTACCTTCGAAGCTTAGAACTCCCTTCTTTGAATCAATTTCGAACTCTTCTTTTGCGCCTCTTGTTGATGACTTTCAATCTTCGTAAATTTCTTCAAAACTTGAGTAGATTTAGGGATAAGTCAAGAAAATTTTTGTGATTTTTCTATTTTGAGGGGGGGTTGGCGACGGAGCAAAGAAAGAAACGAGTTTGGGTGGCTAGGGTTTTCAACCTTTATTTCAGCTTACAAGCAAAACGACGTCGTTTTGCTAGCTTCTCCTCTCAACCCTTCAAGCTTCACACTTTTTGCAAAAAATGGTCCGTGCGCTTTCACTTTTATCACTTAGCCCCAAAATTGGGTTATGACAAGGACTTCCTCAGGAATTGAAGGATTTGCAGCAAAGATGGTTTTGGGAAGCACCACAGCACCAGGCAATTGACTGTTGAAAGCTGTGAAGGCGAGTGCTTTCCCTTTTCCAACATTCTGCTGGAAATGTACAAGACCTCGAGGAATCACAATCATCTGCCCCCGAGTGAGGACCTTGGAGTAAAACTTGTTATCAATAGCCACAAAACCTACCAAGAGGTTCCCCTTAATGACAATTCTTGACTCAGTTGATCGAGGGTGAGAATGAGGAGGGTTGACTCCACCAGGGGCAAAGTCCACTCTGTTCATTGAAATTCCTAGTGTGTTTAACCCTAGGAATGCAAGGACGTTAGTTGGAGTCACTCCTGCTCCAAAGGTGTTGTTTGTGTTTCCTTCCTTGCTCAGACCATCAAAGAAAAAGTCATCTGATGTCACCGAAGAGGCTGATTTGCAGGGAAAGCCATTAAGGGATGGAGAAGCAGCAAGGTTTCCAACACAGAAATCCTGCAATGGATCATTGTCAGCTGAATGGGAAAGGAGAGGAAGAAGAAACAACACCATGAAGCAATAGAATAATCTTGGTAAAGAATCCATGGCAGGTATTGGCTCCTTATTTCAATATGTAGACAGAAAAAAGAAATGTGCAGAGGACGCAACACCAAAAAAATATGTGCAGGGGATGCAACACCAAGGATCTCTTGTATAAGTACAATCTATCTTCTTAGTCAAACATTTATATTATTAAAGATTTTTTTAATTTGTGCCATAAAAATATAATTATTGTATCTTTTTTCATTACTTAGTATTAAAAAAAATAAAAATTAATTTTTATCAGGTTATTTGAAAAGTTCTTGTTCTTGCTGAAATAATTAATTACATCCAGTCACTGCAACGGCAGGTAGAGGTATGCATCTCAAATTCATGAATTGCCACCTTATAATGTCTTCTTTTCTAATCTTCAGGTCTGAATCTATGGTGTAAATGCAATTTTGTAGTTCTTGTCAATGAAACTAGAGGCAGTTAATTCAAGGACGAGCATTAACCCTATTGAAGGCTTTTATTTAAAAGATATAATTCAACTCATACTCATTGATCCTTTATTATTATTATTTTTTTACCGTAACCAATAATAGACGTCACTTTTTAGGTCACGTTAAGGTGCAATATTTGGAAAGGTAAATTTTTTTTTTGTTTATTTATTTTAATAAATTTTTTTTTTATAGTTTCTTTACTTAAAAAAGTTTTTTTGGGTCCTTAATGTTTAAAATTTTACTCCTTTTTAATCCCTCCATTATGCTTTTTAATAAATATCACATTATATAGTGGAAATTCTAAAATAAATAAACTAAAAACAGACCTTTTTTAAAGTAGAAAGACAAAAAATGAACTTTTTTAAAAATGGAAGGATCAAAAAGGAACCTTTTTTTTGTCTCTCTTTAGTCCCTCTACCTTAGAATATCCATCATAAAAAATGCTATATTTGCAAAAAGTAACAAAAGTACTAAAAAGAAGTCGTATTTTAAATTTTAGAGACAAGAAAAAAAAGACTTTTTTTAAATAAAAAATCTTAAAAAAAAATTTTTCTTAAAGGATATGAATCAAAATAAAAATTTAACCTTTTGAAAATTTACTATAATTATCTTATTTACATGATTGCTAGGAATAACTTACCTCATTAAATTTTATTGAAAGATTTCAATAGTTTCTACCAACCCTTCATAATGTTCTTGTGTGTGTTTAGACACAATCTGACACTTGGATTCATGGTTGCTACTTTTTTCATGACAAAATGATCATATATAGATTTGTTTGTTAACTCTATATTAAGCTTTATTTTTTTTCCATAAATAAGTGCATTTTAATCTCTGATTTTTGGTGGACAAAGTTTAGTAGGATCAACTGATAGTCTGATATTTCTCTATTAGCTTTTTTAACCTAGTTTATCTTTTTTACCCAAAAACAAAAAATTCTTACCAGATACAGAACTTATTTCATTGAATTGCATGTCTCTATTGTAGTGCTCTTCTTTATACCTCTTTTGACCGATTGATCTGGGATTTCAGCTTGGTGAACAGCCAATTGATGCTAACGGACTGATGTTTAGCCCCCAAGCAGCAAGAGAATATGCCCAAGGATCATTACCCCAATGGCTGCACATGCAGGTGGGTGGAAGTTTTGAAAGGAAAGCATAATTTTAGAGGATGTATCATTGTTATGGATCAAGCAGCAAGATTAATCAGTTTTTCATTTGTAGTCAAGTAGTAGAAATTTGTTATTGGTTACATCTGGTGAAGAAATGTGTTTCCACTCGTGAATTATTCTTCAATTTGTAATATTATATCATTTGTAGAAAATTGATTCTAATCTCTATGTGTATCATCTGACTGAACAGAGAGTTCTTCAGTGTATCGTTCCTAAACAAATTCTTCTGAAATGCATGCAGTTTCTGAGGATTGTTCCTTCTGCTGTTGTCTTTTTACCGATTACACAATCTGTTCTATGATGCAAATCATTACAAGTGCCAAATGTGAATTGAATGGACATGTAATCATCTGAATAGTAAAAGATAAAAACATCTAGTGTCAAAACTAGCCTTCTCAAGAGTTTAAAGCATGTAAATGTTGATTGCATTGGACTGGAAAACTGCAACGAAGGAAAGATTATGCTTGGTTTCCATGCAAGCAGAGATCAGAAGATCCTAGAGGTAAACTAATGATTATATTATGATGTTGATACTGGTTGCTAATTGAAGTTGCATTCATATCTGATTCATGCTGTTATTTATCTTAGAGAGCATGCATGATGGTATTCTTTTCAAACTTCAGAAGATAATTAACATGCAAAGCAGGATAGTTCCTATATATCATCTGCTGTAGTCTTCGTGCTTTGAGCTTGGATTTGATACTGTTAGAAACTGAAAGGTTAAATGCTTAATTTGGTCCCTTAACTTTATGAAATGAACATTTTTCATCCCTCAACAATTTTTTACACTTTTTTGATCCCTCAACTATACGAAATGCACTCCGTTAGTCCTTCTGTTAATTTCGATCGTTAACTCGCTTATGTGGCATTTTTTATAATTTTTTTGATGATGTGGCAAAAAACAAATCGAAAATGTGTTGACGTGGATTTTTTTTTATGCCAACTCATATTATTACTATTTATATTTTTAAAAAATAAAATAAAAAAACTCACGTTCATCTTCTTCCTTTCTCTTTTTCTTTTTTCTCCTTCCTCTTCTTTCTTCCTCTTCT